TAATGTAACACCTGGAGATCGTAATAAACACCGTTGGTAGTTCGGAAGGAAATTCTAAGGGTACTTGAACGTGGAGTCCGTAAAAGAATTTTTACAGGTATTGTAATTGATATAAAGACTTTCTGCTCTTATAGACAACAATAAGTTGCATTTTTGGCTACATCCATGATTATATAAGTAGACAATTATTCTTTCTCTACCTATACTCCTTGTACTATAGTTTCAGAAGTTGTTTCTAAGGGTATAAGTTGATTAAAAACCAGCAGTTGTCGAAAGCAACAACTGAGCAAGCTGCTCCTAAATCTTATTTACGTTCAATTCCAATATTGAATCGTCTTAGAGTTAGACCCAGCGATTATACTACTGCTGCTTTGTCTTCACCTTGCACATCATCATCTCAATCCGATCTCATTGCTTCAACATCGAAAAATAAACAAATAGCCAGGTTCAAAAAATCGTGTACATTCATCGAAGAATAAATAGAATGATGATGTACATTAACACTAGAGTCATGAATATATATGTATTCGTTTTCTTTCAATAAAGCTGGTATCTTGTAACAGAAAGCATTGAAGGAATAAGGAGAATAATAACTAATACTAGAGTTATTATAGTAAACAGAAGTGCAGTCGTAGTTGCTTAAATCCGCCGAAACGTTGACTATACGTGATTTTAGGTTGCGACTATAGCGTATCACTTCATATTTTCTCACAGGGAAACAAAACCTGAACAAAGTTGCGAAAATCGTGTCGTCTTTTTTTATTACGGTTCCCATGTCTTTGTCATTACGAACCTCCGGAAATTCTGATTACGATCCCCAGCCAAATTTTGATGTTCGTAAAGAGAAAAATTTACATGGAGTTCGGTATCAATTCTGAAAATAGCTTTTTCGATGGTTATATCCTATGAAAAAGCTATGGTTAGAATTGATTCCGAACTCCTGCACAGGGTTCATTCCAAACACCACGTCTTTCCTTTTCATGTCAGGAGTTCGTAAAAAAAAGAGGTGAGACAAAGTGTCATTTTGCCCAGAAAAGGTCAACATTAGAACATTACACTTATTTTAGTTCTTTCAAATATTATTACTAGTGATGTTTCTAATAGTGTGAATATATGAGAACAGGAAGTGCACGGTACATTATGTTCTACGTCATATGTAGAATGAGAGAATTGAATTAGAATTAACACAGCATTACGGAAAGAAAATGCTAGAATGAATATGTAGTTGGATAATTAACATGAAGATTTTTCTGGTTTTGTTAAATGATATCGAAGTTTGTTTTCTATTCGAATGTATATATTTCAGATAAAGTTTTATTGATAATATGAATATTATTCGCTGTTTTAACCGGACTCGGTTATTGCGTCTTATTTAAATATATATTATTTAGTGCAAGTCTTTACTTTCGATTTGAACTTTAAGTTTGCTATAGACATAATTAACTATTGATTCTGAAATATTTTCCGTTATAATCTATTGTAATTCTTTCAAATATTTGGGTAGACGTGTTCATGAAGTAGACTTTCTCTCACCAGAAATATTGAATTTTTCCTTTCTTATTGAGAATTCTACTTCCAATGTCAACATGATAAGCACTCCAAACATATATCGGTGTGAAATTTTACCATAATTGACTGTTAATTTTAGAGTGTGATCTGTATGGTACTCTAGTTGAATTGTGAGCAAATACGATAGTCTTCAATAGAATATATTTAGTTTTTCGATCAAAGTACAGTAATCGATTATGTTCATTTAACCCATAGATATTAAAATAATTATGTAATGAAAAATAAAACTTTTTCGTTCGTTTTGCATTTTCGTTTCTTTTACCTGAATGCTTTTCGTTAGTCACACATCATCAAGATAAAGATTGATGCATGTGAGTGTCGCTATATTTACGATGGATTTCTTGCTATGTATCTAGATTTTTCTCCAGCTTAATTTGCATCTTGTGTATTAATCGATCATAAAAGATCGGATTCACAAGAGTATTTTCCGAGAGAAAGTCGAGCTGACGATAGATTCTTTGTTATTGCCTCTATACTATTACCATATATTGCTGAAGTAGCATATGCATTTGATGTTTTCTATTATCATAATCACCAGCAACTAGACAGTGGTTATGACGGTTTAGTTTCATCGATTTTGAGTGTTTTCGTTTATTTACAATATTGTGCACCACTTCGATCACGTTGTCTGCGTCTTTTTTTTTATCATACAAGCCTATGGTCTTTATCTCAAATTGGAACTTTAGCTCATGTAGTATATTATTCTAAAAAAGACGATGTCTTTCATGTAGTTTTATATTCGATATGAGCAGGAATAGATTCAATCTATTTTGTTATGTCTTATTTGTTGTCGAGTTATTTATCAGAATCGTGGTCTTCACGTTCATATGCCTATTGAACAAGAGCATTTATTTCATTTTATTTCACGTTTGGAAGTTATTCTTGAATTATTTATTCCGGTTTTTCTCGATGTACGTCTTGTTATATTAACAAGAGATAATGTTGCTTTTTAAATATTATTTGATTTTTTTGCCGAATCCTATCATTGTTTTCATGATATTGCAATTAAAGCAGCATTGTATATATTTGTTATGGCAATCACGGCATCTATCGCAACTGAATGCATACACATTGCAAAACATGAATCTCAATTAGAAAAAGCACCCATTTTTTGTGAAATCCTGATAGGCGTATTTCGTATTTTTAAATTACTATTAATCAATAGAGTAAAGATTTTGTGAGAGTTCGAAGAGAAAGAATAAATTTAATATTTTTAAATAAATTTCGTTTCGATTCAACAAGAGGAGCAGAATGATTTGATTTGAACATATGGTTTGTCGACTTCGATTTAAATATTTACTATGTAGAACAAAGTTCAGATAAATAACTCGAAAAGATTTACATGAATAAGAACTCTTTGATAGCTTAGTTTAAACTGTATTAAAATGACACAATTTTAGCTTCTAGAAAAATCTCTACGTACTACGAACCAGCTAATTGTCTTGTTATAAAGAATTACTCGTAAAAAATAGTTATGTCTACGGGAAACACAAGAGTTATACGCCAACTTGCAGTTAAGATTAGTTATCGCAAAATGACTGCTATTGAATCTACCACGAGGCATAATTATTCATAGTCGAATTCAGAAGCGATTATTTATTGTAGTAAAATATCTGCGAAGAAAATCATAATTGTCAACACAGAGAATATATTTTACTTAAATAGTTAGTTTCGACTATACGTCAACGACTAGTATTTTCTTCTAATATATATACGTATATATGCAGGGCCTGGAAAAATTGTAGAACCATCTTGCAGATGCAGACAAAAACGTTTCCTTTATTTCCATGATAAATGATATTGAGTTGCTAATGATATGCGTACATGGGACCATCCACGCACTCCCTACTCCCACCATCTCTCCCCTTTGTTTCTTGCTAATGGAAGAAATAACATGAGGAACCTAAACTAAAAAAATGACTGTAGCATAATAATAGAGCTCCCATGGTCAAAAGCGATTTTATCCACTTTACAGTGTACTGAACCTCACTTTTAGTATTTTATTGTGATGCTTACTTCTTTTTTGGACCTGTCACTCTATTTGAGGTTTAATTGAAGTTATTTTACTTCAAAACCTCAAGATGGAAGACACTCTGAGATTCCACCGCTTTTGAGTGAAATTCAATCACAAATTCATTTTTCTCTGACCTAAATCGGTTCCAATCTACGGCGATATATCAGATTTCTCAAAATATTGCTATTAGAACCAAAGTTGAAATGATTTCATTCGATAGCAATAGTAAATTCTTTTGTTTGGTTAGGAGATTTTTAGAATCTTGTATATTGAAATCCGAAAAATTTCCGATTACACGTACAATCAATTTTAACTTAAAAAGTCAATCAAATAATATCGTTACAAAGAGTAGATCAAACTGTACTCAAATGCTACAAAAATTGGTACGAAGCAAAGCTTCTCAGAAAAAATTAATCCAATACACGAAACATTGACTGATTACGACAACCAGTTAAGTATGAGGATATGAGAAAATTGTTTACCGATTCTTTAGCAAATGTTCTGGATGGCTCTCACTGAGCTTTCCAGAATGGTACGATGCCAGTAACACGATGGACATGTGAAATTTCTACTTTGAACTTGCCTCTGTTGTTTTGATGAAATTATGTTCATTACTACCGTTCTCAACTGGTNCAAAGGGGAGAGATGGTGGGAGTAGGGAGTGCGTGGATGGTCCCATGTACGCATATCATTAGCAACTCAATATCATTTATCATGGAAATAAAGGAAACGTTTTTGTCTGCATCTGCAAGATGGCTCTATAATTTTGCTAGACCCCGCATATATATATTGTTTTAAAGCCAAATAAAAACCAAAATTAGCAGTTTATTTAAGAATTTCTCAAAGCGACGTGTGACAAAGTAAAGTAATTATACATTATCTTTGTAAACGTACGCAATGACACCGTTTTCTTTTTTCATGATCATTAAGACTATTTTAAAGTTTCTTTTCGTAAAGTGTACGTTCTGCACTTTTGTTTTGAGAAGTGGCTCATTCAGACCCAGTTAACAAAATATCCTTTCCTATTCTGTTGAATTTAGAAAATAAAGATTCGCAGAATTCTCCGTTGAATCATCTATTGATATGAAGCTTGGTGACTTTCGAAACCCCGAACTCTCGTAGTAATTGTCTTGGCTCATTTTTAATAAATTCGAAAGAAATTGTTTGAAAAAAGAATCTCAAGAATATCTATCTACTGCACCATTGCTAAAACTATTTAGTAAGATAGAAAAATCTGAATAAATCAGTATCAACAATAATAAAGTGAATTCGATCGGTTCCATTCGTTTTTATTTGAAGTATCGATACATTTCGGCATATTAAACAAAAATTTTAAAATGCGTATCTTCTATTGCTACCAAAAACCAAACCCAACTGCTTCACATAGTATGATCACAGTAAAAACTATATAGCTGTTTTATTTTGTCTGGATAGGTTTATTAAAAAAAATAAGCTTCTAGAAGATTAAACATTTAACTAGTATTGACTTTTTTAAACTTGAAAATGCATGCGAACCTGAATTTCACCAGTTGAACGAAGACCAAATAATTTTGGCAATTTAACCCAATCATCAAAAGTCGCTGATGCTTTAATAGGTTTTAAATCAATTTTAGCCGAACCTATTTCATCGCGACGACCTACATCCTGATCAAATACTTTTAAATGTATATGATGTTGGTTTTTCTCAACACGACTAAAGATAGATGACGAGAATTTTATAGAATTTTACAATAACTATTTTTATAATTGAAATATTTCATTCCATTGTGGAGCTATTGAGTTTGAAATCGTAGGTATGCGTCGTTAATAGTCATCATCAATATACACTTCAACATAAGCATAATTTGCGCCACTAAAAGTATCTTCATCATGAAGTGTTCTAACTTCAACAATAGTTACAGATAGTTCTCCTGTCATAAATAGGAAAAATAAAGATGCGGATAAACGTTAGCAAGAAAGTTGCAATGATGAATGATTGATTCGATTATTTTATTTTTCTATTCACAATTTTTTATGCATCAAGTGAATCGGTTGTTTAATGATACGTAGCAATAATAAAAAATAGATAGAAACTGTAAACAAAATACATGGAATATGATCTTTTTCACCTTCGACTTTGCCATAATTGAATCATTTTCACGACGATATTATGATTCTTACATATAATAAATTCTATAAATAATGGTTAACTCATTACCTCCTTTATCAAAAAATTTAGAGTTCAAGTGTTTTGTATTAAAAGGAAAAGAAAAATTATTGTTATGATTCCATCGCCTAAAATGTTATTAGTTGAAAAGTAATGTCATTTTCACAGAGGAAAATATATCGTTTTATTTTCCTTGAGTTTACTTTTAGAGGCTACTTATTTTCAAATTGAAATATAGTACTCTTGTTTGTTCTTAGTCTATTTTTAGACCAGCTTTTAAGAACCGCTTGATTATATATATGGAAGGAGGATGTTTTTGCGATTATTTTTGTCCCATCGGCTATTAAGAATCTGAAAAATGATAGTTTCATAGTCATTTTTTCTGGATAGGATTTCATCAAGGAACATGATCTCCATATTAAAAGAGCATAGTTAAACGTAACAGCTAGTGAAAGATTTTGAATGAGAATCACAATCAATAGTTCTACATAATAGCAAGAAAATGAATGATTACGGCGTGGCTCTAAAAAATAAAATACTTGATTTTGAATCCGAAAATAGCCTCCACTGTTATTGTTTCAACATCTAGGCATGCTTCGAGCATTACATAGATAAATGAAATTAAAAACATTGATGCCAATCCAACGTTGATGATATTATCATTAGTACATATGTAAACGATTCTTGTCGTTCTCTACCAGAGAAATGGCAAATGAGTACAGAGTCTAACATACTGAAAAACAAATCGCTTCTATTTATAACGAATATTGTTCGGTTGTATAAGAAAAAATAGAAATTTGTTAAAATTTCGCTTATTTTTTAAATACTAAAACATTATATATCCATTTCAATATTTAAATGGTAACCCTTGATGTAAAAAAAGATATTATATTTGATCACCAGATGTTCTATGCAGTATATAATAAAATTTTATATGACCAAGAAACTCAGTCGAGCAGAATATCTCAAACAAAATTACTCTGAGCTATCGGAAATGAATATTATTTTAACTTCATGATTTTAAAGTCAGGACTTGCTTGAACCAAAAGAAAATTTCGGTTCATTTAGTCTCAATGCCATTCTGATTGTTGTTATATTTAATTTCCGTTGAACTAGAGAAATAAACGTCTGCAACAAGAACTGTGTCATAACTTTGCTTTTCTTTTTGTTTTAGAAATTCCAATGATTATTGACGATGCCATATCATCCCCAATTATCGTCACGGAACATGATAACACAACGATGAAGTGTCAAGCTCGAGGACGACCTATACCCTATGTTTCATGGTTTCGTCGAAACGACGATGGAAAAAATCCTAATAATAAAACAGGATTAGAAAATCAACTTTTAGCTAATAATACCGATGGTTTATATCATTTAATTAATGTTAGCCGTTATCAAAGTGGACATTATGAATGTCGAGCATCTAATGGTGTCAATGATCATGTTGTCAGTAAAGATATTGAATTACGTGTCCTTTGTAAGTAACATAAAATAATTCTATATATATATATATATATATATATTTATTTTTTGGATCCAAACTTTACATTTATTCTTCTAACGAATAGAAGTTTGACTGTATAATTTATGTTTAAAACACAGGAATACATCTACTTTGAATATATTTAAAAGTATAATTAAATAAGTTATAACTCATATTAAAATTCTCTGATGAATAAAACATGTTGAAACTGCGGATTACGAAATGCAATATATATTTTTAGAAAAAAACAGCCGAACTACGCATTAAGTAAAATATTAATTGTAAATAATTAAACAATGTCTTTCATTATATGTAAATATCTAGTGTGTTATTCTAAATAATTCTCTTTTTGTTTTCTCTATTCCGACGTACATTAACCGTAATGCATTTGTAGAGGATATTTTTTCATCTGTATGCCACTTTTGATTATTGCCCTTCAATAGTAAATATAACTTCGTGTTTCATAGGAACGATCGTCTTCATGACCAGAAGATTTATTATTATGCGGTACAGAACTATTGCTATGTGCAGTCATTTCTTTATCCCCAAACGCAAATTCGCATCACTCACAGATGTTTTTTATGAAAAGAGAACGATGATGATTAACAATTGTTCTTGACAGAATAAGAGATGCCGACCATCGGCCGACGGCGCGCAAGATTGCATTTGACCTCAATTATTTTCATTATCAGTACATTGCAAGCAACAATAAACAAAAGCATGAGAAAAGAAATGAATAAAGGAAGGAGAACTTGACCTATGTCTATCGGCTTTATATGAGAGAAAGGAGGAGTATATCCGGAAATTGTCGGCGCCGTCATTTATGCTGACCTATCTGAGTAACAAAAACAGACAAATTCTCAATAAATCTATATTGTTAATAGTTTAGTTCTCTTTTCTTACATTGATGGCACGAGTCAATAAGTAATATTTCATCTATAAATAATATCTAACTTCACAATAAAGCAGCAGTATGGTGACTTTCGCGGAATAAAAAAAAGAAAAACCTATTTCAATGTCCTACAGAGAGCATAATTCATACTTATAACTCATACGTCTACTATTCAGGGGTTACCTTCAAATGAAAGAAAAGAATCGTTTTGTTAATAAACACATCAAAGTAATTAAACATCATCATGCATGTAAAGTGAAAGAATCGCTTAATTTATAATGTATATAGGCGCCGAAACAATTTGCGTATATGAATTCTTGCATCACCAGGTAACTACTCGACGTTCGGGGAAAAAAGTTGACGTATATGAATACAAGAAAGATGAATTTAAATCGATATAAATGACATGTATCCTTGATTGACCTTAAGAGCAAATATATCGTATATCTCAGAATGAATCTGATAAATAAAAACTTCGCTTTGAATTAAGAACCAAGATAAATATAAACGAACTGAATGACTATTGGTATATAGTTAAATGTTTGAAAATCTATAGGTATATTTTCATTATTCTGTGTGTTGCTTCGCTTCTTCTGTTTTTTTTTATTAATTATCATTTTTTCTCCTACATCTTTTGTTTGCAGTGTCAACTCCCAATGCCATCGCTATGTCAAAAGAAAATAAGTGGGAGTTGTGCGCACGCAATATTTAAAAAGAGAGAAAGAAAGGGAAAAAGAAACGGAGAGAGACAGCGATAAATAAAAAAAATAAAAGAGAAAGATGAAGTCGATTGACCAGATATTGCACAGTTTCCTTCCTCTCTCCCTCTTCCGCTTTGCTCTTTCTCTCTCGATCTCTTCTTGCGCTCTCTCTCTCTCTCTCTCTTTCTTCTTAGTGGCGTCTCATTGTTGTGTTTTCGTTCACCAGCAGACTCCTCACCACCATCTTTTTCTCTCTCTCTCTCTCTCTCTCTCTGTGTGTGTGTTACTCTCTCGTTGTTCTTTGAATTATTTCTCGCTCAGTCAAAAACACAGATGTTAGCCAATACTATCTACAAGACTGTTTCCAACTGCTGACGTCATAAACACACCCAAAACGTTAATCAAATAGTGGTATTCGTATTCCAAGGAGCAATACTATATTTACCAAGTACATTTCCATTTACAAATATACTATTTCATCATACTATTTTATTGTCTGGCACTTCCTTCTTATCGAAATCAAAGAAAATGACATCCACGTTTATGATCATCAATATTCTTTTTCTTCTGTTATCATCGTCCCTCGTACAAGCCCGTTATCGAGCTCAAACAAAACGGCGATATTCAATGTCGAATCCATCTTTTGTACCACCATTTCCTTTCAATAATAATAATAATAATAATAATAATAATCATAATAACAATAATAATGCTTATGCTGATGGTGATGAGTTGCAAGGAAAACCTAACGAAGAGTCTTGGATGGATTCATTAAAAGTATCAACAACTACGCCATTACCAACAACGCCCTCAAATAAAGCCAATGAAGAGCAAATCGAACAATTTACACGTCTTTTATTTGACCGTCTAAATTTAAAAGAAGCACCTAATGTAACCATGAACATCAATGACGATACAGATTTTACTTCTTCAATTTTCAAACAATTTGAACAACAAGCTAAACAAAAACAACGTGCACATGAGATTGAAGACAGTAAGTTCTATCGAAAACAAAAAAATCATGATGAACAAATGCCTACAGCTGAACGTGCAATTTTACCTGGTGATTATATACCAAATCATACATGTGAACGACAATTATCAGCAAAATTAAATCTTGCTGATGATGACCTTAAGAATATTGATTGTTTTCGTTTCACAAAATCCTCAAAAGAATCAAAAAGTTTACCAACGAATCAAGTCATTAATGAGTTGCGATTATATGTAAAAAAAAATTATTTTCATATAAACGAGCAACAAGGTCAAATAACACCAGATATGTTTCACATTTATCAAATATTTCGACCAACATCAAATGATACAACACAGAAACCACCCAATGGTCTTACGGGTACAATACCTTTGGAAATAAGTCACGTTAGAGAATTAAATGGCAATTGGCTAGAATTAACCATCAAATCGGATGACGATAATATTAAATTGCAACAACTTTACACTCAACTCCTTATGTCTTGGTATGCACTTGCCATTGATCGAGATGTCCAATCATCATCATCATCATCATATTCTGTGACATCATCAATGCCATCATTTAGTCGTCTTTACTACCGACAATATCATGCAAAAAGGCATCAGTCTAATTCAATACGTACAGAAAGTGATGATGAAAATGTTAAACAAGCGCAACAACAGTTGCCATATATGTTAGTTGACTATGGTGACAAAATTTCTCAATTATCATCTGGACGCCGTGGTACACGTGATGCTGTACCACGTCCAGCACGTGGCTGTACTGCAGGAAGTTCATGTTGTCGGCGTTCACTTACAATTGACCTCGATCAAGGTACTACTGCTTTAAATTTTGTTATTTATCCAAGACAATTGGATATTGGTGAATGTGTGGGTTTATGTGGTACAAGTGGCTCATCACTCAAACATACCGATGTTAAAAATGCACAACATAAAAATGAAAACAATTCGGCATACAATCTACTGTTACTTCAAAATAATTTACACCATAATAGAAGTGCAACAGATTCTATGAATCAATCGGAACAACATTCAACACAATGTTGTTCGTATTCACGTACAGGTGGTCTTGAACTCCTGTATACAACTACAAATGGTGGACCAATTATACGCAAATTTATACCAAATATGGTTGTTGAAGAATGTAAATGTGGATTACCGGCTACAATCCAGCAAGTATAGAGACAGATTGACACTGTTCTATTAAGTTTCTCGTCGTAGTCATCATTGTTGTCATTACTGTTGTCCTCATCCACCTCTGTGATAACACATCCCATACAGAAAATTCAAGACCGGAGGGTAAGACTCACGGAAAGTTAGAAAAAAAATATACATAAATAAAAAGAATTCTTGTTCGTCGAGCTCGGTGATTTAAAATATCTTTTCTTCTGTTTTGTCACTCTCACACTTCATCGTTTTCTCTCATTTTTTTTTCGTTATTGTCATATGTTGTCTGTTGTGCGTGTGTATTTATGTTTATCTATTATTTTTCTTTTCGTAGTCTAATATGCCAAGCGCACAAGTTTACTAATGTCTAAAATCTATCTACTGTGCTGGCCAGTCGTTGTTGATGCTCTTAACTAGTCTGTTTATTCTCTCCTTATACATATATTGACTTCATGTTCCCAATCGATCTCAATACTTTCGATTTTCATTCAGTAAGGAGAATAGTCGAACCGTCTCAGTCGATGAAAACTTTTCCTCTTCTGTTTTTCTCTACTCTTGTTCGTGAACAATTGTAAATTGATCGATATGGGCTATAAGGAATTTGAAAATATTCTCAAATTAAGGCTTCAGTAGACGATAAATTAGGCGAAAAGATGCACAAATATTCTGGCAAACAATGCAGAATATTTGACTTGCGCGTATTAATAGCAATATCATTTGAGGAAAAATTCAATTAAAAAGAAACCAAAGTTGAAATGAACTGTAATTTAACGAATTTTCATAGAACGAAGTATATTTCTAATTGAAAAACTTGTGTAAAAACAAAATAAACATTTTCACTATATTAGTGAATACAACTTTAAATATCTTTTCTTATTTGGTTTCTGTCACAAATACATATTGGACGTTGTTTCTTCTTAATGTTAATTCCTTGTGAGTGAACAAAGTCCATACGTTATTATTTTTTTCTTTATTTCTTTTAATTTGTGTAACAAATAACATCATCACCTTCTTGTTCTCACTCTTCTTCATTTTTTCTTGCATATGCGAGTATCTCTATACATGTAACTGTGTGTGTGTGTGTGTGTGCGTGCGTGTGATGTGTGCATATTAAAGAAACATAACTATCGTCGTCGTCGCCCGATGAAAAAAATAATTTGATATCTTTCGAACTAATATTGCTGGTGCCCTTGCTTGCCAAATGTCATTGTCGATTGTGACAACAAAAACTCAGAGATACATATATACTTTATAGGTTGAAATATATGTCAAAGTATATATCAATGATTGTATGAGAACATGGATATATGAAGAATAAAACATGTATGAAGGTCAAATGTGTGATTGTTGGAACAGGAAAAAAAGCTGATACACGATCCCATTAGATTTTGTTTTCATTTTTCACGAATTTTGCTTAGTATTTTTTAAGATATATAGGTCATATTATACAATCAGTGCAATGAATAAAGTAGTTCGCATGTGCCGTTAGAAATGATTAAGATGATCATTGTATTTATACTGCTTGATGAACGTTGAAAACGTAAAACTGAAGATGACATATTTTAACACTCATATGAGTCAAGATCGCAATAGCTATTAATACGTTATTAAGATGTGCGCAGGCCTATAACAAAAGAGAAAAGCTCCTTCGTGATTTGCAACAAAAATAGAAATAAATAAATCATGCACCTGTTTAACTCACGCAAGCTTAATTATATTTATACTTAATGATAAATAGAATAATTCTTTGAAAAAATAGAGCACAGCTGTTCATTACATTTGGCTTCAAATGTTTAATCTATTGATATTTATGTCAAAATGGATTTCTTTTGTGTTAAGTTAAAGAAGGCCATAGGTATGAGTTTTTAAAAATTTTATTGTCTCGTGAATTTTATATGCATGCATAAGATTAAAATTTTCATGCGATCAAACCTTGAACAAGAGGAGACTCCAATAAACATATGTACATGTGCATATATATAACCTCTATCAATTCATCTCAAATGTACTCAAACAGAAAAAAACACTCTTAATGACCTTGTTAATGATTACATTCTAGTTGCACCATCAATACGAGCTCAATCTACGTTGATTCATAGTAGCATTGGAAAATCAATACATTTACGTTGTTCAGCTTCAGCACCCTATGATACATTGTTGTATTGGCGTCGTATAGATAATCATAATATATCGAATCAATCGCCTAGATTTCGTCAACAACAAAACATACATGGTCATCTTGTACATACAACATTATATATAAAAGATGTTGAAAAAACTGATTTCGGTTTATATGCTTGTTATGCTGAATCGAAAGCCGGGCATAGTAAAGCTGTCATTGAATTAAAAGGTAAGAATCTTGGCTTTATATCAATTATCAATAATTAATTGTTTTTTTGCTTCACTAAGAACATCATCGTTTGACAACGACGATTCATACATCAGCTGTACCTGAAGTATTAGACTCAAAACAGTACCGAATAACATTCACAACTACGACAACTACAACAACAACAACAACAACAGCAACAACAACAATTCGTGCACAATTACTTAAACGGAATAAAAGTAAATATCATAAATGTTTAATTAAAAAGACAGTTTTTCCTTCGTCTCCTTATATTTAGTTTCTGATCAAACGTCAAATATTATAAAAGCTAATTCTGCCGCATCATCAACTTTATTTATCTCGTATTATCTTTTACTTTTAATAATGTTTTCTCTTTATTTGTAATAATAATTTTTTTTTTCTATAGTCTTGACGTAGAAGAAGATAAATGTCTTTATATATGTTGTTTCTAATTATTGTTTGTTTGAAAGAGAAATAAAATTTGCAATAGAAAATCTAATTAACTTTGCTTATAAATGCTAGATAATCGATTTGATCTTTTAATCGATTTCATTCAGCAAGCTCATCTTGGAAGAATGAGTTTGATTACATTAATGAAAAATCTCCCCGATAAGACATTAGCGATTATCCCCGAGATTATTTATGACGAAAATAGTCGATATTTGAAATTAAAAGATGATAATCGAATAAGAAACAATCGTCAAGAAAAATCAATAAAATATATCGAACGAGATAACGAATCAATCAATGATATTATTCAACAACGCCCTCTTACAGGTCAATCGAAATAGTGCATTCCTAAAATTAGATAGTCTGCAGTTTATTATGTTCCTTATCATGCCTAGATAAAGTTTTTGTTTTCATTTAATTCATTGCATACATTTTTTATGATTGTATGACAGCTTACGATCTTACGGAAGTATCGAATTCCGGTCATGTTAAATATTATTAAATTAAAATCTTTGATAAAAATTCTCGATGTCACGAGATCAATTATTTCAAGCTCAGGCGAGGGATAAATTACACGTGATACAAAACTAGAAACCGATTCTTTCATAAACGGACATCTTTTAGAAATGAGATTCTTTATAAGGCATTCATAAATTATGAATTTCATACATATAATAAATATCCTTATTCAAATTTCCTGTTTTTACTTTCTTCAAAAATGAGATTCTCTCGTATAATTTTCCATAAGTTATTCCAAGATAAGAATTTATTAATTTTTAATATAAAATTTTGTTTTTGTTAGTTTCGTCATTGCTCGAACAACAAATGGCAAGTTTATCAATTAAAGAACGATACGAATGCATAGCTAATGAATTCAAACTTTCTTCACTCGATATTGAAAAACAATATAAATTAGCATTGAAAAATCGTATTGAAATACCACCGATTTTAATGCATCGAATTATAATCGATGCTATGAGAATTCTTCGTTTAATGATTGACGAACTAAATCAAGATCTAGGAAAAAATGACGGAAAATTTCAACGAATCACTACGCGTCTTAATGATCTTGAAGCATACAGTAAATTATTCAATCAGCATTGCTCATAATATTTAGTTATTTATAATCATAAAAGAAAACAAAACATTCCTAAGAGTATTGCATAGAGTTAAAGAAATAGAATCCTTCAAAATTTGTTTAGAACTATCAGTATAATTAAGAATAAAAATTCCAGTACTCAACACAATCAGACTTGACAGAAATTCAATCCATTGCTTTGAAGAAAAAAATAGCTCAGGTGCAAATTTTTTAATATCATTTACGTCATTCAAAATTAATAACTTGGCGTTCTTTTACTCTCGCTTATTCCAAGAAAATTGAAGTCAAATTGCAAGATTACGGTTTTGTTCGAAGGTTAGAATTGAATCTTGTCTAAAATAATCACACATTAATAATAAAAGTGTGACCGAATAAACGCTGACATAAACACAGAATGAAACAACTATTGTCTTCAAGACGTGCTAATTTCCTTTCTGTAATTAATATTCGAGCTCTCATGAGTTGTCATTAACAATTTGAATAAAATTCAAATAAATTTGTTGATCTTAATCTTAAACTCATGACTGATAAATTTTATTAATTCTTTCGATAATATGATGAAAATTTAAAGTCATAATCTTATATTTATCTTGAAATCAACAGGAAAATTTTACTCACGAGCTATTATAACAATTTATGAGGCAATAATAACGAGATTATTTTCCGAAAATTTTATATAATATGACTCTTGAGGAATTTCCACATAAAAACAACTGTGATATACCCATGTGGACATCTAAAAACAGAATGAAATCCGTCAACCGATGAATATTTATGCCCTACAAAAACTCAAACGAAACAAACTTATTGTTATTAAACTAATTTTCAAAGGGTTTGTAACATAAAAATATGCCAAGTAACAAATGCCTACTATTATTTTTAGTAAGAATGAACTACGTCAAGGAAAAATAATTACACGCCTGTCAGTTTTTCACAATTAATGAGAAAGTCTTTCGTCAATGAAAAATTTGATTAAAGCTTTTATACCAGTGTTAATTGAGTAAGTCTAATGAAAATGATTCGAAGAACTTATATTCATCATCTAAAAAAAGTGAGAATTCGAAGACTTTGAAATTTAATCAAAATTAAGCTAATAAAATTTCAAAATGAATAGAAATTATAATTCTTTGCAACTTTTGATTGACGTGGTAGGAGTGTTGATTGTCAAAATATTTTATCCGAAAGTTTTGATGCATTAAATAAGGTTAACTTACCTATTGCGCAGGTACCGCTAAGTCAATTAACCTTTCAAGGCGTAGGTTTTAAGAAAATTACAAAATTGACTTTTAGTATTCATGGGAAATGTATATATTTTTTTCGTTTACAATAGCAGATTGTAATTAATAATAATAGTAAGAAGTTTAGTTTTGCTTTCGTTGGAAAAGCAATAAAAAATCCATTGACGAGAGTTGAATCAGACCGGCAGATTCATCAATTACTCATGCTAGTAAAATCTGAATAGCACGATGATATTTGAAATTAATTAAGTTGGGCTAATTCATCTTTAAAAGTTATTTTTGGTAAAGAAAAATACTCAAGGTATTAATTAATTTGAATGCATTGCAGTTCAACGAATGTGAAACACGATTTGTTCAAGTGTTGTCATGTTCACAATGATGCACATCAAGAAAACTTTAAAAAGCAAAATACTACAAAAATAGACAACAGAAGTAGTGAAATCTACAAAATGACTACATTTAAATCGAATAATCAATCAGCAAAAGAATAATAATCATTACAAAAACAACTCAATGATTCATAGATTAAAATCTATTCTGAACAACTCTCACCAAATACTATCTGTTTGAATGTTCAAAATGTTCAGCGGCAATCAATTTGTACAACAAGTACCGCGAAACGATTCGTAGAAATTTACAATCGTAGAATTTCATGTTGTGTAGAGCGAGGGTAATAGACCGAAAAACCAGTGAAAGTTTGTTCGATGAAATTATAATATTAGCAATCAATGGCCAAAGTATTCGCGGAGAAATTCATTTTGTCTTAAATAGTTATCATCCGTAGCGTCCTAATTGCGGGCAAAAATTAAGCCAATTAGTGAAAAATGACCGCAATTCGGAACCGGTGAAATTTTATTTTCTTATTTTTATTGTGTTTCCAAATTGCGATCATTTTCAATTGATTAGCTATTTCGAAATTGATTATGATTTTTTTTGCATGATTGATACATATAAAATGATGAGAAAGAGTGATATTTCATTTGACACAATGAATACTAAGGTCACTTGGTCAGCAACTCAAAAAGGAGAAAAAGTACTTTTGTACAAGAATTATTTATATCGAGTAAGAACAGGCTCAAAAACGCACAACAAGATCAAAAAAAGCGAAAATATACGCGCCGATGAAAAGCTTATGCTAGGAAAAAATAAATATATTCTTGATCAAGACTTTGATGCATATCAAAAAGTCTTGCGAAGTATTTCTCATCGATATATAGATATTTAAAAAGATGCTATAGATAGCAGCGACGAAGAGTAATTTTTTTGTGTGCATGTATTCGTCGTATCAATTAATAAATATATAGATATCTAGCAATCATTTTATGTTTGTTGATTGCTTAATAAAAAAAGTGACCGCAATTTGGAAACACAATAAAAATAAGAAAATAAAATTTCACTCGTTCCAAATTGCGGTCGTTTTTCACTAATTGGCTTAATTTTTGCCCGCAATTAATACCTAGTCGTTTTCATCACGCTTATCAAAAATGAAACGAATCGTTAGCCAATAAAATATGATCGGCTCTTCTTTCTTTTATCCAATATATCAATTGAAATACTAACTTGAATATATTTTATGGAACAGTTAAAATTAACTAAGAATGAAAACATGCTCTGTAGTTGACCATTCTAGATAGAACTATGAGATAGACCACTTTCCCAGCAAACCGTAATCATCTTAGATGTTTTTTCTTTGTATCACTCATTATTGACATAAATCGGTAATCTATACACTTTAAATTGATTACATCAAGACTGTTTCGCAAGTTGAACTGCTCACTATAGTCAACAGAAATCTTTTCGGTTTCGCAAAGAACTTGAGATTTTCATATTCATTCACGGAACGATAAAACACGAAATTGATCATCCGCTCGAGGAGTTAAAATCGATATTGAATGCTTTCCTTCTTAGTTCCTAAAAATAGTTAATCATTCATCTCAATCTTTTGAGTAGAGCATTGTATTATTTTTTAAATTAAACATTAATATATACAATTAATCATTTTCTTGAAGGTGATAAAGGACGGGGGATGTTAACAGTCGAAATCGGGTCCCTGTCCAAACACGACTTTTTCGCTTTCGTTATGCTAGTTTTGAAGTTACATCGACATTTTAAGCCACATTTAATCGTTATATCAAATCTAGACTTCATCTACTGCATTACTTTTTCTATTGCACTAAAATCCACTGGATTTCCTTTCGGGAGCCAATCATTTTAATGAAATATTTCAGTTATTATAGTTCATACTTATCTTAATTTACCCGTCGGATTGTAGCCCTTTTCACGCTCTCTCTCTCTGATGGTATGTCAACATAGGAGAAAAGCTACTGAATTCTATTTGACACCGCGGGCATATCATACAAAAGATCTAGTGAAGGTGAATACCAATGATGATATTTTTCGCGAAAGACTCAGGTAAAACTGTCGGACCACTCTTATTTACATATCATTCGATAGAGAATTTCGAGATCTATCGATTGATGATGAAAAATGTAGGGAAAAGAGTGGGTAACGATAAAGTGATTTTAGACCGACTGTACATGCATAAGAAAAATATGTAGTTTGCACTTTCGAAGATGTGGAACTACGTTTTCACAAGTACAGTCGGACTGGGTTTGACTGTAACTCAATGTCCGATTAACTGTATCGAATTGGATCATATGATCATCAAAGTTAGTTCCCTTTATCAAAATAGCTTGATTATAATACTACGAATGCGAGATACGGATTGAGCACTTTTGAGTCAAGAATTTATGGAGCGGAACCCAACAGTATAACAGTATCCTACTGATTAGATATGTGCCGATCTGAACTTCGATCCGAATGTTGCTGATTGAAAAAATTATCGTACCACCCTGAGCAAGGATCATAGTAGTTGAGATTTTCCGCACTGGAGTTGATCGGTCAGGATTTCTGAATGCGAATTTTAATGCAGAATGTTTCTAGCGACCAGAATTGAAACGTACACCTAAAACTGTGGAGGATTATTTTTGCAATCGGGGAACGGAATTTTCTACTTTTTATCGAAAAGTCTAAGATTTTTTGGAATAAAATGATCAAAAGGAAAAAAGAAATTGACAAACTATTGTTCTATATATGGACCAAAATTGTGAGACCTGAACCCGAACCCGGACCCGGTCAACGTTTAATTGTCAGAACCAGACTCTACCCGGACCCGATGTGCTCTAGATGCAAACAAGTCTAAAATACCAGTTATGCTTGCTGATTTTTCGCAAAACTAAACTTTTTAACAAAAACCCTACATCTGACAGACTCGTTCAACATGGACTTTCTATCTGAAATTTTCATTATTATACGACATACGTCCAAAATACTCAATCCTCTACCATCGCAGAGGAACTTCAAACTAAATTTTTAAAACGTGCATCATTGAAGTTACTTGAAATACCAAGTGAATCACGCTGATAACAAATATCAACATCCTAAATCTCAGAAATGGGATTCTGAATTAGGGGTGGCACTTTAACTTTAATATTAAGATAAAGTTAAAGTGCCATCCTTATTCTGAATTAAATTTTCTAAATGCTAGCCTTGAAATTTCTCTGATGCAGATATAAGGAGTAACATTTTGCAAAGTATCTTTTACAAAAATAAAGCTTTCAGAGAGGTTCTTCATGATGCTGACGCTATCCCTAAATGATTTTTTTCTTAAACAAAAAGAGTTTTGCTACTAGATAGCTTAACACTACTCGCGCTTGACTTCCCCGTATTTCGTATTCTTATTTTTTTATTCACGTAATATTGCTATAGCGAGG